CATTCTGGGGGCTAAGGAAATGCTTATCTCCCCGAGCGCGGCCTTCGCCATACCATTCCATCACAGTTAGAAGTAAAAGGAAGGAGTATACAGTTGATTTATTTGATATGTTGTTACTTCTGGCAACCCTTAATGGACTTTTGCTGACACCAGGACTGAAATTATGATGCTTTATGGATTTGCTTACAGATAAGATATGGGACATGGGATGAAGAGATCATTGGTTGTAAATTAAGAGGAGGTGAAAAATAACTAAAATTGTTTATACTTGTTGAGATATACTTTTTATATACTTCTTTTCTCTCTTTTTTTTACTATGCTCTTTCTTTTCTCTTTTCTCTTTTCTTTTCCTTTTTGTACTTTTTACTCTTTCTTTCTACTCTTTTTTCTTTCTTCTAGTTTGTATTAGTTTTTACTATTACAATTATAATCTTTAATAAAATTATTTAAAAAAAATTCTCCCCAAATGTTTTTCTAAAATTGTGGGGGGTTTTTTTGTAAACAATTTACTGGAGTTATACAAAACATCTGAAAGAAGTATTTCACAAAGCATGTTAGCCCAAATGAAGTCTTCTCCTTAAACTATTTAAGCCACAGCATTCTTTGCAAGATTTGTGCAGCTACTTCAAAATCTGTCCCTGATTGTGTGTGTATGGATACACAGAGTGTTTCCTGGAATGTTCTATTCCCACAATGATATATTTTGCACATCCCTAGAGACATCTGGGGATAGCTTTCAAATGAGCTGTCAAGCCTTGCAAAGGACATGGCTGTTTTAACTCTTGATTGACCATTTAGCTACCAGGCGTGCAGCCTAGGTTTCTTTACAAAACTCTTCTTTTTGTGTAGCTACTGCTAAGAACTTTCTCAGAACAATAAGTGGCTAGGGCATTCAGAGCTCATTTTAGTCCTGTTGATGTTTGCAGTAGCAGCACAACATAATCTGCATACCATAAGGGCGCAATGTACCTGTTAGCAATTTTTGGGAATGATACTATAATTACTCTTTTTGTCCATGAGAGGGCTGATGTACAAGTAAAAGAGCAGGTGAATTAAAATACATTCCTGTCTTACTCTTCTTTTTGCTACTGTTGAAGGTCTGGATGATCTTTAAAGTAAGATTCATGAGAAGTTAATTATAGCAGCTTGTTTGTGAAGTGACAAGAGCACATTCTAAAATCCCTTTTTATTTTATATACGCTGCTCAGTGCATATAAGTATAAAACAATTATTCTGTATGACACTCCTCTGAAAGGAAAAAAAAAATCCTAAACAATTTCACTGTGCATAGAAAACAGACATACAGTGGTGCAAAAAAGTATTTAGTCAGCCACCAATTGTGCAAGTTCTCCCACTTAAAA